TGTTTTTATATAATTCCAAGTCTTTTTTCGCAAAATAACAATTATCTTTTCTTAAATTAGTAACAAGAGAATGAATAAGTAAATAATTAAGTAGAGCATGATGCATGTGGCCCCAATTATCTAGAATTTTTGTTATCTAGAAATTCTTCGTTTTCGTTCATTTCTTTAGACTCGGATTTTTTCATATCTATGTCTGGATATCCATCCTCGATATACCTAATGGAATCATGATCCATGTTATTGTCTTGATTTTCACATGTATCTATTAACCATCCTTGATTGTTGTCAATTTCTCTAGAAACAACAAGGAATAGTTCCTTCTCCTTGCTATCTATCTGATCCTTTAGATATACGAGTAAATCGTTGTCCTGATATAAAGAAAGAATATAGTTAATATTGCAAAATATATGAAAATATGTTTATATTTTTCAGCAAATTTTTTATTTAATTATATTATTTAATAACCTTTCCTATTAACTGCGGTGAATCCAATTTTGAATCAAGATTATAAAAGGCACCATGTATCTTTTTCAAAGCAATCCAATGACGTCGCTTCAAAGGAAGTAGCACAAAGCCTAGTTTGTATTCAGTTGGAACATTAAGTATAAAGCCCTCAATGTTATCTAAACAAAGACATTTTGGATCTCTACAACAGAAGAAATAATTAATAAACATTTACAATCGTAATTTACTTGGTCGTATTCTTATGATATCTATGACTGTACGAACCTACGTTTGTCAAACCATACAGCTTCGCGTCCTCTTCTTTGAAGAGCAGCCATAATAACATTAATGTCATAATTACCGAGTCCTAGCAGAGATTTATGAGGATTGATCCACACATCTGGACTTAGACTATAACAAATTTGATCTAATTCTTGCTTGCTAAATCCACGCTCTTGAAACAAGTTATTTAGCGCATGTAATGCACATAACTCCTTCACCTACAATTCAATTTATAATTTTAAATAATACATAAGTACATAACAAAATAAAAAAATTTTAATATTGCAAAAATAATTTAATTATCAATATTTTGTTCACAATTGTGTCGCATTGTAAATGTATGACAAGTTTTCTGCACAATATAAATGCGACATGTAAAAATACATAAAAATAAATAATGAAAAGAATGTACGAACATTAAGAAATTACATACTTGTCTTTCATGATATATAGATTCAGTCATATCAATTGTTGTACTCGCAACCATCGCAACTACATAATTTCCTCACCGTCTAAAAGCATAGATTAATTTGCCGGTGCTATAAAAAAAAAACCTTTAAAAATTATATTTAATAATGTTCAATAACGAATGATCATCAGCAAACCACAGAACTTGAACCACAGGACATTAACAGCACTTTAATAAGTCACGACTATCCAACCATTATGATTAAAATTAAAGCACGCCAAACATACATTACATATCATTAGGATTTGGCAAAAAATACACACGATAATCGTAGAAAAGTATTGCTACAAACTCTGTATCAAAACGCTCAATTGCGCTCAATTGACACAGCCACACTCCACAGTCGTAGAAGTAATAGCACGCAAAAGTGCAAAACAGTGCACTAGTGCAGAAGCAATGGATCAATTGCGATCTGAGACCAACACAGGCACCCTAAGCCGTAATCACACTAGCGATTGCGCGATTCAACCAATCGGAACAAACCAATTCTCAACCAATCGGAACAAAGTAAACGGTGACTGCTTTGCTCTGATTGGTTGAAAAGTAAAGCGGGGAGCACAGACTTTTACATAACGCATAAACCATATACATAAAGAATTTGATTGGTCCATTGACTCATGCATAAGAAAATGAACTGAGACCAACACAGGCACCCCAAGCCGTAATCACACTAGCGATTGCGCGATTGTGATTGACGATTGAGGATTACTTCTCAACCAATCGGAACAAAGTAATCGGTGACTGCTTTGCTCTGATTGAACTTGATCAAGATCGATAATACAGTTTTGGTGATCCCGCTGAAAAATCTTTGTCAGATGGTGCTGCGCGCTCAACTTAAGAGAGAAAAAAGACAGAACTTATATCTATCTCTCTTTCGCCTGTTACTTTTCTCTCTCACGTTCCTACGCCATCTACCGCAATACATACTATAACATCCTTGATACACAATTCTCGTGCTGTTTACTAAAGTTCTGTTTACTAGAGCTCTACTGTTTACCATCGTTTATCTGTGCCAACGAAACGATTACACGTGAAACAAATATTTTGGAATATCTTTTTTTGTTATGGCTCCCGCAGACAGAACGCGGAAACGCTTGCCGCGCTGCGGAAGTTGGCACGATAACCAATCAATATCTTGCCGGCGAGACGCTGATTGGCTATCGAGGCAACTTCCTCCGCGCGGCAAGCGTTGCCGCGTTCTGTCTACGGGAGTCATTAGACCTTATAGATGACCTTAGATGACAATTTCGCTGCTTAGGATTATTTTTGCACGTCATACGCTTGGCGCGAGGGGAACATTTGGTATGTACGACCTTAACGGGAGCCATTAGACCTTATAGATGATCTTAGATGACAATTTCGCAGCTTAGGATTATTTTTGCACGTCATACGCTTGGCGCGAGGGGAACATTTGGTATGTACGACCTTATACACAATTCTCGTGCTGTTTACTAGAGTCCTGTTTACTAGAGCTCTACTGTTTATATGTACCAGCGAAACGATTACACGTGAAACAAATATTTTGGAATATCTTTTTTGTTAGACCTTAGATGAGAATTTCGCAAGCTTAGGATTATTTGTGCACGGCATACGCTTGGCGCGAGGGTACCATTTGGTATGTACGACCTTTTATACAGAAAATTTCTACAATAAGTAAATTATAACCTCAAGTAATAGCTGTAAGAGTTGAAATAATTGAATTTTTCATTTTTTCTCCAATTTTCTTATCAAATTTAGCGTTACCCATATCATTTTGATGTGTACTTTTATCGTGTGAAAAAATTTCATGATCTATAAGGCCAATTCGGAGAAAATGATTCACTGTAATTGTTGGTCATTCCCGTTGCTTTAGAATATATCTCCTTAATTTGATCCTGTTTTGAATGTTCCGATACAGACTGAGAACTTATTGTTTAACATATCTTAACACAAACGTAGCAAATTAATTCATTCATATTTTCAATTTCAACAAATAATTTAATCCTTTTAATTAAATATTCTTTGTTGCCACAATAACCTCATAAAAAAAGTAAATTATTTATTAACACTAAAAATATGAAAAATTTGTACTCAATTGCACCAGTTGCGGTAATCACGCCAATACGATACAACGGGCGCATTCAGTGGCCTCAACAGTTGAGTAAATGCTCGCTATTATTGGTGTATTCTTCTAGAACTAAAATTCTGATTGGAAAATATAAAAAAATGCACCAATAACAGCAAGTGCTAACTCAACAATATATTCCAAAGTCATCTGAACCGATATATCCTAATCATACTCTTAATTGGAAATGCTGATATGTTCTAATTTATAAACAAGTGAATAAGTGGATAGACAAAGTCCGATTACTACCATTGGTCAGCAGACTCAACGGTTTTATTCAACTGTTTTATGATTCTTCGCTGAAATAGGACTATTCCTTTAGATCTAAAAGTATAATCCAATCAGCGAGACGAATCATAAAACGATTGTAAAACTGTTGAACGTAGCCATTGATGGATTTTCAAGTTAAACCATTCAATGTGATTGACTGTGATATATATGGGATTGGCGTATTTAACTTTAACGTTAATATATGGAAGACCGTATAAATGAAAACATGGAATAACATGGGCTGCGTTCCGTTTCACGCATATGCGCGCATTCCACTACAGTATACGTGACGCTCACTATATAAAATGCGCGCATATGCCTGAAACGGAACGCAGCCATGAATAAACATATAAAGTCCGATTACTTTAAGCTGTGGATTGCTAATTGGTCTGATCCTTTATGTTATTTGCATTTTCAAATTATAAAAATAAGAAGAAGGAGCATATACCACACGCTGGTTCAAAGTAGCGAAAATATCGTGTATTTGATAATACTAAAATTACATAAATATAAACGTTTCGGTCTTTAATGTGACCATCTTCAGTATATAACAAAAAAACTTTTACTTTAATTCCCCTAATGTATTTTAAATAATAATATGTACAGGGGCGCAATTTATCACATGCTTGTCAATTATTCTACAATATAAGTTATTCATCGGTTCTATATTGTCAATTCTAACGTCAATTCGCACATAAAAATGATGTCAAATTTAAAAGTGATTCGCATACAATTAGATCAAAACATAACGATATACAATATAATTTTCTTCGTGTCCTTACAAATCTGCTAATGAATTTGTTAAAATAATGGAATCGACCATGATTTGAGAACAAAAGTTTCCAGACTAAAAATTATAAATATTTTCCTTTTTTTTTCTGAATATTAATTAAAAAAGAATAATATGAGCTTTAAATTGATAATTAATAAATACCTCTGTCTCAAAGGAAATTTCGACGAAATCCATGTGAAAGGACTTGAAGTTAGTCGTTACGGAGAGAGAATGTGGCATGAATTTGTTGTTACAAGTAACCTCTTTACTTTTAACATGGAAATATATTTAGGAGTGGGAAACTAAAGTAGGATGGTGGGAATGATTTAAAAGTGTAGTTATGTAGTTCTCTGGAAATTTTTCAGTGTCGCTCTGTAAATTTAAATCGTTTAATTGTTTTTTAATGAATATCATTTCAGAAATTGATCTTTTCATGTATGATGGTTCATTATCCAAAATATGGACATTATCCCAATCCATTGTATGGTTATAACCCATTTGATGCTTGCTAACAACGGATTTATTTTGTATTTTTTTTAAATCTGCTCTATGTTCTTTAATTCTAGTTTTTAGGTTCCTTTTTGTTTGACCAACATATGAGCAATCGCAATTAAGACAGTCAATTTTATAAACTACGTTAGTATTGTTAAGTTTGTCCAATTTGTCTTTACCTAATTTAATAATTTGATTTAAACTATTGATTGGTTTGTAAGCTATTTTTATCTCAGAGTCGACACCAAAAATTCTCTCTCCGTAACGACTAACTTCAAGTCCTTTCACATGGATTCCGTCGAAATTTCCTTTGAGACAGAGGTATTTATTAATTATCAATTTAAAGCTCATATTATTCTTTTTTTAATTAATATTCAGAAAGAAAAAGGAAAATATTTATAATTTTTAGTCTGGAAACTTTTGTTCTCAAATCATGGTCGATTCCATTACTTTAACAAATTCATTAGCAGATTTGTAAGGACACGAAGAAAATTATATTGTATATCGTTATGTTTTGATCTAATTGTATGCGAATCACTTTTAAATTTGACATCATTTTTATGTGCGAATTGACGTTAGAATTGACAATATAGAACCGATGAATAACTTATATTGTAGAATAATTGACAAGCATGTGATAAATTGCGCCCCTGTACATATTATTATTTAAATACATTAGGGAAATTAAAGTAAAAGTTTTTTTGTTATATACTGAAGATGGTCACATTAAAGACCGAAACGTTTATATTTATGTAATTTTAATATTATCAAATACACGATATTTTCGCTACTTTGAACCAGCGTGTGGAATATGCTCCTTCTTCTTATTTTTATTTTTAACTTAACCACTTGATCTTCAAATAATTTTCGAATTATTTTCGGGATTTATTAGTAACGGATTTCCAAATAGAGATAATATTAAATTTTACTATGCAATCTCCATTAAATAGATTAAATATATATTAAAAATGGAAATTCTTGTTTGAACCACTATAGTATGTATTTCCAAATAAAAATCAGATATAATTTAATTGTAAATTCTGGATAAATTTGTTAATATCTGAAATTACAGGTATTTACAAAATAGATTTTTATTTAAAAATCTTACCATGGTCAAAAATTAGGAATCCATATATAACCATATTTGATTTTTATATGCCTCAAGTTTTATCCAAATAAAACCTTATATGTCCACATTTGTATTATACAAATATGATCAAATACATTTTATGTCTGGACATACTTGGAATTTAGTACAGGGAAGTTACAAGAAGATTAAGGTTTAGCATTACGAAGATATAATGTAAATTTTACATGTTTTGGCCTTGTATTTAGGCCTTCCTCAGAAATACGGAATTATGACGCCACAAATAAAAAATATAGTAACGACAGTTTTGTTACTAAAATTAAATTAACGATGAGAGTGTGTTGAAGAATGATAAGTGGTTGCTCAGAGAATCGAAAATTGCTCGTCAAACGATTGGCTGATCAGATAAGAAAAATTTCTCGTAATTCTATTGAGGACATTATTCTGAATTTGTAGTAAAACAAGCAAATTAAAAACTCATCTCTGCGTCCAAAAATTAAAGTAATCCATGTCAAGATTAAAAAATTGCCAATAGTATAAAATCAGTGTTATCAGTTGCTAAAGTATTATTACTTAATATTACACTCTAAAATATATATGACGGTCATGATAAAAAAAAAAAACATTTGGAAGCCTAGAAAATATTTCAAAAGAAGATAAGGAATCTCCGATAAACATGCCAATCCGATTTGCGTATTACTTCTTATAGAACTACTGAACATTTTCTTCTTACGAGTAGCATAGAGTCCCTCTTGTAGTTGAGCCGTCGACTTACCCCTTCAGTACAAAATATGTCCGCAATATTGCAGCGATACTTCAACAATGTATGTACAATATTACAAAAATTGCAGCGATATAGCTACACTATTGAAATTAAATAATTAATTGATTTTTAATTAATCGAACGATACTGTTATAATATTACAACGTAATATGCAACATTGCAATCACTGAATAATATTGTGGTAATATTACAATGTGATATATCACAATAGTTGAACGATATTGCGATAACATTGTATTGCAATATGTATATCTCACTGCAATATTTAGACAACATTGTAGTAATATTGTAAAATAATATATCTCATTGTGTGTAACATCTCAACAAAATTATTGAAATATTACATTATGAAACATCGAAATATAATATCTCAATAGTATTTACGAAATATTGCATTGCAAATTGTAATGTTACTGCAATATTACTGCGATATTACATGCTTTGTGGGTAAATGCGGTAGCATCTCTCGTTTTGATTTTACTTCATCTTTTATGTCATTTTTTTTGTTTTTTATCATTTTAATTTTATTTCTTTTTTATGCTATTATTTTTTTGATCTTTTTATCATTATATTTTTGAATAAAGTTATTTAAAATAGTTTTGCAAAATTCTTGTTCATTGTTATATTATACATTCAGATATTTGGTTCGTGAAGTAACATGCATTCCAAGTATTTCAAACATCTCAAATGGAAAAGTATTTATTTAAAGTAATGCCATTGAGATTTTTGTACAGAACATCAAGGACAACAATATAATTAAATTTCAGCCAATATAACTGAGGAACATTGTCCATAAAATTTGTACGGGTTCTTTGAATATGAAATCTTATATGTAACATATATCAACTTTTTTACAGAATACATAATACTAATTACAAATTAGGGGATTGCATTAAAAGTTGCTGTTTTTTCTTTGTATTTGAATATTAATTTCAATAACAAAATATATGAATACCTCAATCCAAGTATTTTCCCTCGGAAGCTATGACTGTTTGCCACTTTTCAGGCAGAAGTTGAATTCCACGACGAAAGAATGGTTTCGGTTAACCTGTTCGTTGTTTGTCGTGAACGTCACAATCACCACTTTTGAATCGTCGAAACCAGTCTCTACATACTGTTTCTGATGGAGCAGATTCACCATAAATTTCCGCAAGCAATCGATGAGTTTAAACTGCACTTTTTTTCATATCAAAATAGTGTAGAAGTACACATCGGAAAAACGACTTATCGCGTTCCATTTTAATTCAGTTATAGAAAAGCACGTATGTAAACAATGATGGCGTCTGTTGACTGCATTTTAGTAGGAAATGTTCACACTTCAAAATGATATAAGTAGCAGATGTCTCTAACCATAGCATACGCAGCTACTGTCATCTAAATGTGAACAGCGGCTTTTAATGCAACCCCCTAATATAAAAATTATATGCCTTATATTATTTTACATCACTATTTATATTTATATTTTACGCAAATTTTATACGCAACTATACAATCATAATCAACGATTTCTAGTATTGGAAACAGAAGGCTTTAGAATGAATTATACTGCTTGATATAAATAATTTATTCATAACTCTGTATTGATTGCACTTTTTGGATTTTCGTTTTCTCTCTCTTTTCAACGCTCAAATATATATGTATCTCAATCTTCTAAATGTTTTTCAATGCAAAAATTTTTGGAAATTTCAAACACAAAAAGTCTTATTAATAAATTATTGAAGTCAAGGAATATTATTCATTCTAAAACTTTCTGTTCCCAATAATTGAAATCGCTTCCAGATCTCAGACGGAGAAAGAATTAACAAATCATGTTTCAACAATTCCATCAATTGATCATTGCAATTACTCAATTCTTTCTCGGTCTGAGATCTCGGGACGATTTTTGGCATCGTGGATTACAAGGCACCATTTTAAAACCTTAAATATACAGGGTGTTTGAGAAGTAGTGTAAAATAGTACAGGACTTTTCTTCTCAGTGTAGTCCATTCTACTCCCTGTACGGAATATTTTTCACTACTTCTCAAACACCCTGTATATATCTAACAATAAGATATAATAATGAATAACTGAAAAATATATGTATAATAGTCAAAACCGACCATGTACGAACATATAACTAATTCGAATACGAAACCTATAAAAAATACATTATCTAATAAGTCCTCATCAATATAAAGTAAATATTAAAATACATATACATTAAAATATTGTGTTCATAAAATGTTCTTGATGATGTATAAAAATATATCCACTGTTTCAAAATGGTCCATATCCTGAAATTTTTATCTCACATATATGCATATGTATAAACACAAATAGAGGAGCACTAATTATATATATAACAGGTACAAATTGTATATATAAAATACTATATATATAATATATATATTATTTATTTATTTACTTGGATTTGGAGGTGGATGTCCCAATCTGTATATATCTGGAGGAAATCGTGGTGGAAATGGTCTAACTGGTGCCATTAAAGTAGGATGTCTACCTCTTCCCATAGGAGGAATCTGTCCTCTTAATGGAACCATAGGACTTGTTATGATAGGTCTCGGAGGAAAATTCTAATAAAAATGTATATTTATCAGAAATAAATTGTAAGTCCAACGAAGTTTAACCCTTGTGTGCGCACCCGGGTACCCCACACTGAACTATATATACACTGGAATAGGCATCTCCGTTGTGAAGCATAGAAAATCGTGGCCGTTTTTGATCAGCCACCATTTTGGCTAGATCAGATGCTTGAGCGAATCAGATTATCAGAAACTTTCAGATGCTCATGCGCACTTACGAGAGTTGTTTAGCAAGGGTACGGTCGTTGCAATTAAGTGATATATATTTTCATATATCGATCAATACAGCCAAAATGGCGGCTACTCAAAAACGGCCACGAATTTTCCTCGATGCCCATTCCAGTGTATATATAGTTCAGTGGTACCCCACCACGGTACATTTTTGCATGTAAGTGGATTGAAAATTAAAATTTCGCTTGAGACGTCCGGATCGTCGTTATTTAACTCAATTTTAAGCAAATGATGCAGTTAGAAATTTTTAAGAATTTTTTTGTAAGAAGGGATTAACAAAGTAGGTAAAGTTGGGTGCGTACACAAGGGTTAAGAACATTCATTAGAAAATGGTCAAAATTGTATACATGTATTTTACTTACATAATAGATAGGTACGGATATTGACGATTCAATATAATGTGGTGCTATATCCCTTCGTTCTCTGGACCTATTTCTATCTTTAGTTCTGTCTCTATTTCTATCTCTATCTCTGTCTCTCTCCCTGTCCCTGTCCCTATCCCTGTCCCTGTCCCTATCCCTGTCCCTATCTCTATCTCTGTCCCTGTCCCTATCTCTTCTTTCATAAGAACGTTCGTTTGATCTTTTACGATATCTATCGCGATAAGATCCCTCTTCTATAAATGGCCTGTAATAATAATAATTGAATAAATTACTATTCATAATTCTATTCAACGATTTGGCACTCTGTGTTCTAAAATTTACTGCCAGCACTGAAAGTTTGTAGTGTACCTTATGAATGCTATATAAATTTTCAATACTAGCAAATTTTGAAACAGCCTTTATCTCGCACGTTTTACAAATCAATTAAATCTGGTAATACCAAATCACAAAACAAGTCATAGCAAATTAAAAATTATGTAAATATTTAAGATAACATAAAAATATTAATTTATTTAAAATAATAATCTATATTCTATATTAGTGATTACATTCTATACCTGGAATGTGAGTTAAGTGAGTCTCTAGAACGCGATCGATTATGTTTATTTGCATCTCTTTCGGTATATTTTTCTTTATACTCTCTACGTTTCTCTAATCGCCTCTCCGGAAATAAAGTAACAATATATGCTTTTCAGAAAAAACAGTCACTTTTTAATTATAAGTACTATTTGTTAATATGTGACTTTTTTAATTACAAAAATAAATTTTGTTTATGTCAATAAATAAATAAAGCTAACCCACTAATATAAAAATAAATAACTAAATAAAGCTTACCCATTATCTTCACGAGTATCACATTTTTCTGTCTTATCCTGGTATTTCAAACCCGCGCGACGACTATAATCATAAAAGAATAGATTAAAGAGTATACATTTAGTGTAAATGGAATATTGTCATAACGAGTAAAACAAACCTGGATGTATAGGAAGATAGATTTTCGGAATAGACATGATTCCTAATAGGACTCAAGGATAAAGACCGTCTTCTCAAAGAACGTGACTTGGTTGTCGAGGCTGTAATATTATAGTGTTAAAATATGTAATTTTTTAGATAATGTTTTGTATATTTATTATAAAGCCTTGAAAGTCGAGATTTAAAACTTTCACTTATAGAAAAATGACATAACCATGTGATATATCGTCTTCAAACACACGAAAGGAGGATGCCCACGGTAAGAGTGATTTTGGCCCTGGAACTAGAACCTCCCTAATTGGTAAATTCGTGTAGAGCATGATGAGGGGTAACACCTCATACCAAATTTGGTTCTTTTATCAGGTGGGAAAGTTGAAAAAATCACTGTTGAAGTTTACTGTCTCCCCGATATCTCCTGTTACTACTTACGTTTGAATTCATGTATTTGAGAACATGCATCAGGTAAATATTCGCATAAAATGTAAAACTGAAGCAGAGATACAGTAGCAATATATCGTCTTCAAACACGCGACTTTTAAATTACCTAATTCGTCAATTATAATTACAAAAACAGTTTTCCATGAGAAATATTACAATCTCGATATTTTCTTATTTTTAGTTAAGAGATATGTCATTTAAATTACAATCGTGAGCTCAAATATATTACATTTTTTAAATTAGATTTTTTTATATTACATTTTTCTTATTTAGAGAAAGAATTTCAAGTACTTCCATAAAAATTAAATGCAACTTTATCAGAGTGTCTAGCGATATCTGACTAATCCGTTCAAGGATAATTCCAGGATATTCCAGGTAAAAAATCCTAGTTTTTTCAGGATATATCCATCTATTAATTTCCATCACTTGATTAATTTTCATTGATTCGCACAATGTTATACGCTTTGTACTATCATTTGAAGTATCAAGTTAGGATTCTATATGACGAATGAATTAAAATGTTAACAAATTCGGAACAAAATTATTTATTGCTTCAAAAATAATATGAAATGAATAGTTTATAAACATAAACGATTTTTCTTTTTATTAACGTATCACAAACATCCTTATAAATCAATAACCATATGAAATTAATTTATCAGTACTTCATTAAATTATCAATTTGATCTTCAATATCTACACTTGCTTTTAAAGCTTCATCTGAAATCTTTTTTTTCTTACTTTTTAATACTTTTAACATATTATCTTGTTTCTTTGACTCTTCCACATCACACAATTCTTTCTTTTGGTCTTCTTTTTTTTTACCAATACTTCTTTGTACCAAGCATGCGTATTGCGAGCATAATGTATCATAAATTTCGTAATCTCGAAGTTGTTTACATCTTTTCCATTTGTAATCATCGCATCATAAATAGTTCGCTGCGAGTTATTAACGATTTTTCTTTCTAATTAAACATTCGTGAATGACTGAAAAGCCTCGTTCGAGAGCAGCATTACCATGCGAAAGGATCAGTACCTTACGAATAAAATAAATTCAAGGTCAGCCCTGAAATTCCAGGGGTTTTCAAGAGTACATTAAATTCAAGTATAATTCCAGGATTTCAAGGATTCAAGGACCGCTAGGCACTCTGTTTATATATTCATTATATTAGTTCATTACTTAATTTTCCAATCAGTAAAATCTTACCATCTAATAATAAATAATTATTTGTACAATACGTACCTGATTGTTCTTTATCTATAGTTACAACTCTGCGTTGTTCTTCTATTTCGTTAGCCTTATCTATAATTTTGCTTAATTCTTCTCTGTCGAATATTGGTTTACATCCTTCTCCTATGTAATTTATTACATTATTTTTGTATTACTAAAATTTTATCATATATTTATATATATTAATGAAACACATTCAGACAATTATGATTTATCTTTCTCACTTATTTGAATTAAATTTTTTATTATGCCTTCACTTTAAATTTGTTTTATTTGACGTACATCCGTTTAAAACACGGTGTCAATTGAATTATCTTTACTCGATAATAACTGTTTCAGTAAACATGGCTGCAAAAAATTTCCTGATAATAGATATGACTTTTTATCAGAATAACGCTATATGATTAGTGGGCGGTATTTTAGAAATATCCTTTACATATGTATAAGATTAAAAAACTTTAAGAACACTTTTACGTAATGCTTTACTAGTTTCTAAATTAGATTAAAACTTATAATTATTGTCATATATTATTTAGCTTAACTACAGAAATATGATGTAACAAATTGTAAAATCTTGCCCAAAGAATAGTAACATCCATATTGACTAGATAATCTTCCAACGAAAGATATATTCACTCTTCTAAAGACATTTCATATCTTCAGTTGTTGATAATATTGGAATAATTTAAAATCATACAATATTTAAGCAAAGTATAAAGAAACGACGTCCAAATCGAGAGGTAATAAAATATTTTTATATAAAATAAATTTATATTTTATAAAGTTAGTGTAACACAAAATTTTTTAATGTTATACTGACATTATAAACTATGAAATAATTTTTTATAAAAAAATCTTATTACCGCTCGATTTAGATCGTGGTTTCTTTATATTTTGCATTGCAAAAAGTGAGCGAAATCTAATTAATATTTAATCAATGTCTTCAAATTTAAATTTTAGTAATTAAGCAAGAATTAAAAATATTTGTATTACTTAATAATATTCAATACATAACTTTTGCGTAGCATATTTCACACATTTATTTTTTTATCTTTATTGTAATATTACTCTTTTATTTCTATGAATGTTTGATTAGTGATTATATTTTAACTTTTTCAGAAATTCTATTAAAATTGTTAAAATTGCTAAAAAATAATTGGTAAAATACTCTTCCAGTGTTGAAAAAGTTCTTGAATCAGATTTGCAATGTTTATTATTACAAATATTTCTCTTGCTTGTCATTTTCATGGAGTATATTATCGATTTTTTTATAGTAGATTCTTCATAGATGTAAGAAATAAACCTATTAATGCATCAATCTAATGTTTATATAACAAAACTTTTGTATTATTAGTAAGATAGAAACACATCATTATTATACAGATTGTCTGAAACCACCCGTACATTCCTTTTATATTGAAAGAAGAGTATTTTAGAAAAAAACATTTCAGACAATAGTTGGTACAGTTGTAAATGATCTATTCAATCTGACCTTTGGTGGCGTCACCAAGGTCAGAGCAATGTCACTTTGAATCTTTTTAATGGAATAATTTTTATGTAAGAAATGAATTTTGAGTGCAAAAATGAAAATAAAAAGTACAACCTTTAATGACCTTGACTATGACAAATGTTATCCAAATGATCTTGAACAACATTTAAGAGATTTTAACCGTCGATACAACTGTACAATACAATAACCTAAGATAATGCTAAATTCCGACAATACTGTAACCTTCAAGAATAATAACTCAAAAAATACTTCATGAAACATTATTTTATTATAGTATTTTGGAAAGCTCTCGAAGTATGCTACAAGAATATGCAATGAAATATGCGGGTTCCATTAAAAAAATTCAAAGTAACATTGCTCTGACTTTCGTGACGCCACCCAAAATCAAACTGATCAGATCAATGAATAGATCATTTACAACCCCACAACTATTATCTAAAACGTTTTTTTTTTTTTCTAAAATGCTCTGTTTCCAAGATAAAAGGGGTGGTCTCAGACAACCCTGTACAAAACTTTTGTGCTATTAGTACGGTAGAGACACATCATTATTATATATTACCACAGATTACTGACAATGTTATATCTGTAATATAGTTCTTCATTTATTGCAATGTTAGATAATAATTTTCTGCAAAAATTAAAAATTTAGAGAATCATAAAGATTTTATAGAATTAATAATTTACCATCTCTTCTCTTGATGATCACATCTTCAGGATTAAGTATATCTCTTTGTAACTCGGTAACAGATCCTTTTACAGGGATATTCCTATGAATTTCAACTGTAATTCGATGTAGTTTTGAAGTATCAGTCTGTGCATTCTGAGGATCTCTGAATAAAGGTACTGTTCCACTTGAAGACCCATCTAATCTAAAGAAAATGTAATCATATGTTAAATTAATTGTAGTTATTATACTATGTCAAAAAATAATCAGATTTTTTTTTTCAAGAAAAGTTCTATTCTCTTATATATCCTTTTAAACAAAAATTTGTTTTTTCTTACTCTTGTTAAAAAAATTTTTTTATTTTTCAATACAATGTCGTACTCTTCTTACTATTTACAAAATATCATTACTGTCATTTCTGTCACTATAAAATTTGTGTAATAAAAAATACTCAATAATAATGGTCAAATAATCTTCATAAATGATGGAATATATGTAACACTGCTCTAACATAAGAACACATTTTTATTATTTTGTAAGCAATATTCTCTAAAAATAGTTTTATACTAATTACCTTTTTTACTTTTTTAATTAATTTTGTGGAAATATATATTTTCTGAACATTTTCAAAACAATAAAAGGATAAAATGTAGGGCAATTCGAGAGTTACCGATAATCATAAATAAAAGTTTCTACATAATAAATTTAAAAAATTATAATTAATAAGGATTTAAAATGTATACATATCTAAAATTCTGCGCATTACATGTTTCGGCTCTTGAATTGAGCCTTTTTCAGATGCATCAATGGAAAAAATTCACTATATTGTAGATGGTAGAATTATGATATATTACTATGTGTTTACATTATAAATTGAAAAATAATTTTATATAATATCTTTAATATCTTTTACTTGCCTTTTCGCTCAGTTCGTAACGATCCGTCTTACAAGTGACATAACAATAATTCATCATTACTTTACTTTTACAATGTGCATCATTACATACTCAAACCGGAACATATTATTAATTTTAAAATTTATTATTGACTATTGTAAGTAACTCTTTTTTTCTTTTCACTTTTAACTATTTTTCATTATAAAACTTTTATATTAATGTTTACAGAAAGTTCTATTAACAATGATACACATTACTTAAACAATTTTATCCATCAAACATATTTATAAGTCTGAGGAGGACTCTATTCAGAGTCGAAACTGGTTACATCGTTTTTTCATCATTATATAAGTAGAATTTAAGTAGATTTTTTTTGTAATCATATTTTTAATTTTGTATTGTTAGTCTAAAATGTAATATGTCAAAATTTTCAAAATTTTAATCTTAATTTGACTTTTACTTCGCCCTTTTATTGTTATTGATTACTATGTGTTTATTTATGATTATCGGTAACTCTCGAATTGTCCTTCATTTTATCCTTTTATTGTTTTGACATCGAGAGCTTTGTTTGATAATAAACATTTTCAAGTTACTTTATCTCTATCAAAAACTAATAAAAATACTTGATACATAATAAAAATAGAAATATATAATGTATATATTATACGAAATAAACTAAGATTCTCCCATTGAGCTGTGTGGCTCCGCGGCAAAACAGTGGCTTGCTAATATGAACCACTACGAGGCCTCGATTTGAGTCTCGTCACCGCGTTGAAGCGTCCGACATTTTTTCGGCCTAACTCTTGCAATATGTTGTATATGTACACTCACTTTTCATGAAGGCTACCAGATTTGGAAGCAGTTGATGCAGATCTACCTCTGTACTGAACATGCGTAGGAGATTCACTACCACTTTTATTTTGACTGTGACGCGAGGATTTTTCTTCAGCATATTTTAAAGCTTGTGCACGTTTCCTTTCATATTCTAAAATTTTTTGCTGTTTCAATTTTTCACACTGTCTCTCTCGCTCTTGCTGGCGTTGCCATTCTTGTCTGCGCTTCTGCTTCTCTTCTTCGGTTCTTGAACGTAAAACTGCATAAGTATTGTTATCTTCGTTACGTGTTGATCTTGACTCCTCACCGTCTCGGAAAGTTGTCGATCGTATTGGATTCATTACTGAAAAAAATATAAAGCAGAGCAAATTCACTAATTATAGGATTGCTTGCATGCTATGTAAGATAATTATATGAATACTTCGTCACTTTACTGAATAAATGACATTTTCGGAATACCGGATATGAAATGTGTATCATATATTATCCCACTTAAAGGAGGTCGTTGAAAGACAGGAGTCTTAATCTTGTCAGGAATAGAAAGGATTCGCAGGATTTCAACGTATTAGGCCTGAGCGGCGAGAGTGAAGGAAGTCGCGAATAAACAGTCCTGGCAAAGTAATCCGATCACTGTCTTTATTCCGATTCTCTATCACCAATATAGAGAACTAAACGTTATCTTGTTACAAAACTTAGATGGACGAATATCGAAACGCGTGCTCATCAAGAGAGATTGCGTTGCAAAACAAATAGATAGAGTCGTTGCCTGACGAACTAGTATCTTCGACATTCGAAGACGAACGCCCGCCGCACTCACCGCGTGCTCCGGTTTTAAAAGTATCTGCTTTCGCTTTCGGTAGTGTTCCTATAATAAGAGTTAGGACATACCGCCGCCATTAATAGCCAAATTTATGTTGGTAACACTGATTTTGTTGCGTGTAAAGCGGGGAGCACAGACTTTTGCATAACGCATAAAGCATGTGCATAAGGAATTTCATTGGCCCATTTTCTTATGCATGAGTCAATGGACCAATCAAATTCTTTATGTATATGGTTTATGCGTTATACAAAAGTCTGTGCTCCCCGCTTAAGACTGGAGTCACATTGAGCGGAAATCTACAGCGGAACGGAACAGCGAGACCAATCACAATCGCAGAAAGTAAAGCAGCGGAATAATTGTAGAGTTCTTATTGGTTTCACTATTCCGTTCCGCTGTAATTTCCGCAGTCGACGGTGTAAAGCCTTGTGTCTACGATGCTAGAACTTGGACCTGCGGAATATGATGCTTGTGTTTTTCTGTTAAATTGCTTTATTACGTTTATCTAGAAAATCTGCTTTAATTCTGTGTGGTACAATTTTAATAATTTTCAAAAAATGCAAGCAATCTAGCAGGAAAACAATCATCGTGTGCCGATCTTGAATTAAAATATTTTTACAGTATAATATTTATACAATATTTATATTTTCTTATTTTTGTTTTTGTTTTTAATTTTTCAATGCATTACAATTATGAATCTATTTCTTGTAGGTTTTTTTTACATTTAATTAATTTGCGGTTCATACAAATAAACAAGAGAGAGGGGGGGAAGGGGGGAACTAAGAGCAAGAGAGATAGAAGTTTAGTTAGATGATGTTACTTACTGATTTCGAGTATGCACACTCCATTAGGCTTCACTAACATCAAAGATGCCGACAGAGAGTTGCGCTATACTGTATATACTGTGATAGAAGTTTGTTCCTCCTAATCGAAGTGGATCGGAGGCATCTGTTTGCTCTTTTATATTGGAAATCATTCGGCAACTCGTATCTTTCTGCTACATATCACCTCATATCCGCGTTCGAGGTATTTAACATTTTTACAGCTAATCGAACTCCTCAATTCACTCAAGATTCAAAAACGGAGCTCACAGAGTTAAAATCATATATGTAACATATTAATTTTATTTACAGAATACATAGTACTAATTACAAATTATTGAAATATATAAGATTAATACATATGTATATGTATATACCTGTATACAATATAGTCCTATAATAATATTCCATATTATATAGAAAATATTTTATATATAAATGATATGCTTTATATTATTTTACATTATTATAACATTCATATTTCATACAATTTATATACAACTACATAATCATAAATCTGTTTGTGTTTGCACCTTTCTCTTTCTTTTCAACGCTCAAATATATATTTATTTCAATCTTCATGTTTCTAAATGCAAAAATTTTTGGGAATTTTAAACGACATAAATAGACTTATGAATAAATTATTCAAGTCAAGCAGTATAATTCATTCTGAAGCCTTCTGTTTCCAATACTAGAAATCGCTCCCAGATCTCAGATGGAAAAGGAATTAATAAATCATATTACATTCCATCAAATTATTATTGCAATTAGTTAACTCTTTCTCGATCTGAGATCTCAGGATGATTTTTGGCATCATGGATACAAGGCATCATTTTACGTTCTTTAATATATTATGCTTTACCATATCAAGATATAGTAATGAATAATTGAAAAATATATAATAGTCAAAACCGTCCATGTACGAACATAACTAATTCGAATACGAAGCCTATAAAAAATATATTAAATCTAATAAGTCCTCACCAATATATAAAGCAAAAATTAAAATACATATACATTAAAATATTGTGTTCATAAAATGTTCTTGATGATGTATAAAAATATATCCACTGTTTTAAAATGGTCCATATCCTGAAATTTTTATCTCATACACATATATGCATATGTATAAACACAAATAGAGGAGCACTAATTATATATAAAACAGGTACAAATTGTATATATAAAATATTATATATATAATATATATATTATTTATTTATTTACTTGGATTTGGAGGTGGATGTCCCAATCTGTATATATCTGGAGGAAATCGTGGTGGAAATGGTCTAACTGGTGCCATTAAAGTAGGATGTCTACCTCTTCCCATAGGAGGAATCTGTCCTCTTAATGGAACCATAGGGCTTACTACGATAGGTCTCGGAGGAAAACTCTAATAGAAATGTATATTTATCAGAAATAAATTGTAAGTCCAACGAAGTTTAGCTACATTCATTAGAAAATGATCAAAATTGTATACGTGTACAATATTTTACTTACACCATAATAGATAGGTACGGGTATTGGCGATTCAATATAGTGTGGTGCTATATCCCTTCGTTCTCTGGATCTATTTCTATCTTTAGTTCTGTCTCTATTTCTGTCTCTCTCTCTGTCTCTCTCCCTATCCCTATCCCTATCCCTATCTCTACCCCTGTCCCTATCTCTTCTTTCGTAAGAACGTTCGTTTGATCTTTCACGATATCTATCGCGATAAGATCTCTCTTCTATAAATGGCCTGTAAAAATAATAAATGAATAAAATTACTATTCATAATTCTATTCAACGATTTGGCACTCTGTATTCCAAAATTTACTGCCAGCACTGAAAATTTGTAGTTTACCTTATGAATGCTATATAAATTTTCAATACTGGTAAATCTTGAAACAGCCTTTATCTCGCACGTTTTACAAATCAATTAAATCTGGTAATACCAAGTCACAAAACAAATCATAGGAAATTAAAAATTATTTAAATATTTAAGATAACAAAAATATTAATTTATTTAAAATAATAATCTGTATATTCTATATTAATGATTACATTCTATACCTGGAATGTGAGTTACGTGATTCTCTAGAACGCGATCGATTAGTATTATGTTTATTAGCATCTCTTTCGGTATATTTTTCTTTATACTCTCTACGTTTCTCTAAATCGCCTCTCCTGAAATAAAGTAACAATGTATACTTTTCAGAAAAAACAGTCACTTTTTAATTATAAGTACTATTTGTTAGTATGTGACTTTTTTAATTTACAAAAATAAGTTTTCTTTATGTCAATAATAGTACATTGTGTAACGAGTGGGGATTAGTTGTTTATTGCGCGCCCGCTTTGCGCTATAAACTAATAAACCCCCCACTCGTTACACATAGAACTTTTCATTATGTACCCTATACCGCAACGCTTTTGCGCAGAAGGGTGCGATTAGAGAAATAACTCAACGGTTTGAGTTATTGGCTATTTCCCGCACGCAAACGCGTTGCGGTATAGGGCTCATTACGTGCATGCGTGATAAAAATAAATAAAGCTAACCCACCAATATAAAAATAAATAATTAAATAAAGCTTACCCATTATCTTCACGAGTATCACATTTTTCTGTCTTATCCTGGTGTTTCAAACCCGCGCGACGACTATAATCATAAAAGAATAGATTAAAGACTGTACATTTAGTGTAAATGGAATATTGTTATAACGAGTAAAACAAACCTGGATGTATAGGAAGATAGATTACCGGAATAGACACGATTTCTAATAGGACTCAAGGATAAAGACCGTCTTCTCAAAGAACGTGACTTGGTTGTCGAGGCTGTAATATTATAGTGTTAAAATGTGTAATTTTTTAGATAATGTTTTGTATATTTATTATAAAGCCTTGAAAGTCGAGATTTAAAATTTTCAGTTATAGAAAAATAACATAACCATGTGATATATCGTCTTCAAACACGTAATTTTTAAATTACCTAATTCGTCATTTATAATTATAAAAACAGCTTTCCATTTGAGAAATATTACAGTCTCGATATTTTCCTATTTTTAGCTAGGAAATATGTCATTTAAATTACAATCGCGAACTCAAATATATATACATTTTTAAAATTAGATTTTTTTATATTTAGAGAAAAAATTTCAAGTACTTCCAAAAAAAATTAAGTGCAACTTTATATATTCATTATATTAGTTCATTACTTAATTTTCCAATCAGTAAAATCTTAACATCTAATAATAAATAACAATTATTTGTGCAATACATACCCGATTGTTCTTTATCTATAGCTACAACTGTGCGTCGTTCTTCTATTTCGTTAGTCTTGTTTATAATCTTTTTTAATTCTTCCCTGTCGAATATTGGTTTACATCCTTCTCCTATATAATTTATTACATTATTTTTATATTATTAAAATTTTATCATACATTTATATATAATAAATGAAACATTTAGATAATTATGATTTATCTTTCTCACGTATTTGAATTAAATTTTTTATATTGTCTTCTCTTTAAATTTGTTTTATTTGTTTTCATTGATTATTATCGTAATAATAATATTGACACTATGGTTTTATAAGTAATAAAAGTATTAAAATAAGAATTACTTAAAAATTAAGCTCTAGATCTATGATAATAAAATACAAAATTTTACAACCTTTTAACAAACTAATTTAAATAATAAATACAGAAAGACTCAAATACAAACTTTGATTAAAAAAAAAACTTGCTTAAGATTTGGATGATATAATATTTACAACAAATCATTAAAACTTTGAGAATAAAATCCTTTCTGCTTATTAATATTATAAATTATTCTATGATTGCGTATAAATTAGCGCGCATTTTTAAATAAAAAAATAAAAGTTACATTAGCAGAATTATTGGAATTATTGTATATGAAATATTACAATTTTGATGATTTTCAAATATGGCCTGATACATATAATATAAGCATTGATTTCATATACGTATACCTATATGTATACAGGGTATTTCTAAAATACCCCCTACTAACCATATAGCGTTAGAATATCTTTTATGTCATTAAAAATTAATTTATAATAATAATATTGAACAATATTTTATTATAAATTTATATTTAATAACTTAAACGATATTTTTTCAAATGTAAAATTCTGAAAAAACGATTGTCTAAAAGTAATTACGATTCTTATTAATGAATCAAAGGTATGTCGGGAGAGGGGATATAATAAAATTTTAATTCCGGATAGAGGAATTTAAATTTTATAGTATTGTTAAAATTGAGACATAATTTTAATTTTTATAATTATTATGTCGCGACATAATATTAATTCATTGATAAAGATTTTAATTTTTCATAACTTTCCTATGACATGTGAGACCATTGTTCTACCACATGATAGCGGCGATGTCAGTGGCGTACCGGCGATTGCTTACGCACACTACTAGACGCGCGATTCGCGAACGTACATCCGTTTAAAACACGGCGTCAATTGGATTATCTTTACTCGATAATAAATGTTTCAGTAAGTATGGTTGCAAAAAATTTCCTAATAATAGATATAACTTTTTATCAGGAATAACGCTATATGATTAGTGGGCGATATTTTGGAAATATCCTTTACATATATATAAGATTAAAAAACTTTAAGAACACTTTTTTACGTAATGTTTTACTAGTTTCTAAATTAGATTAAAACTTATAATTATTGTCATATATTATTTAGCTTAACCACATAGAAATATGATGTAACAAATTGTAAAATCTTGCGAGAAGAATAGTAACATCCACATTGACTAGAAAATCATCTTCCAACGAAAAAATATACTCCCTCTTCTAAAGACATTTCATATCTTCAGTTGTTGATGATATTAGAATAATTTACAATCGTGTAATATTCAATCAATTTCTTAAAATTTATAAATGAATATAATTATAAGGCTCTGTGTAGGTACAAAACAATATAGAAGTAATAAGGGCCAAAAGCCAATAATATAAAACGATTATAAGTCAAATAATATAAAAATTACATAAACAAACGTTTCGATGCCGATTAGGTCATTTTCAATGTTAGAAGTTCTTACAGAAATACAGAAAAATTAAATATTAGGTGTACAAATTAGTTTATTTCTTATTTTTATAATAAGAAAACGATAATTTTAGTATAAAAGTAATATCAATCATGGGAACACTTTTTTTTAAAATAGGTAAATATAAAAAATAAGTTATTACATCGAAAATGGACCGAAAATTTTAGGAAATGAAAAAGTCATGAGTTTATACCTATATATTATTTTATCGTTTAAAAAAATGCAAAATTAAAAAGAAATTAATTCGGAAAAAAATAGAAGAAAAAATTTGACCACGATCAAATTAGTCTTAAAAATCATCAAATAAATCTAAGTTTTTATGAGAATTTTTTAAAAAAAATTAAACGTGTCATACTTCAAAAAATTAATATTTTTTTAAATTAAATTAAAAAAAATTAAAAAAACAATTTTGAAACTTATCTTGATATTTTTTTTAATCTAGAGAAAAAAAACAATTTAAAAAAACGTTTTATTTGGATTATTTTTCGCAAAGTTATAGGCATTTGAAAAATGCGAGTTTTAAAAAAAATTCATATCTCATATGTTGATAAAAAAATTCAAAAAAAATCATGGTAGGTTCTTGCGATGGGTACTATAATGTATCAAAATTTCAGCCAAATCAAAAATCCAAAAGTTTTTGAGCGGCTCATTTGGCGTGTATATATGTAATACCCCATATATATGTAAATATTTCTATTTTTTCAATTGTCATTGTGTCATTCTTTCTTTATTTTTCTACAAATGCTAATTAATTTATTATATTTAACTAAAATTTAAAACTTCGTTAAAATATAGCTCCTTCAAACACATTAAAAAAATTAATATATAAATTAATCATATAAATTATTATTATTGTATAGTTGTATTGATTGTATGATATATTATTATAATCGTTCTACATATTCTTAATAAAATTGTTTTAATTTTTATATATTCAAACTGCGATTTTGAAAGTAATACATAATTTCACTTTTATTGTATTAATTTTAAGAGTTGCTTTAAAGAACAGACTTTTCCATATCTAATTCTGAATATCTTCACTGATCATTGTCATCAAGTTTTGTTTTCATTTTATCTCCATTATTAACTTTTTAAATTAACATTTTTATCATCTTATTTATCACTTTTCCATCGCTGATATTGTTTTCAATACCTCTCTCTCTCTCTCTCTCTCGCGCGCGCGCGCGCGCGCGTGCGTGCGTGCGTGCGTGCGTGCGTGCGTGCGTGCGTGTGTGTGTTTTTCTTGATCAACTGTAAGAGATTTATCCTCATCTTCATTGTAAGCTTTTTTCAATCACCTTCGTACCCCGTTTATAGCACTAATATAATATATTCCGTAAAAGAAAATTTTCCATAAGGATATTTATCAAATAAAGCATATTCTTAGATCTTACTATTTAAGGACGTTCTTCGACTGCAGTTGTGCTCAACCTAAAGTAAAAAAAGAACATACAAATCATATGAAATAAAATTCTTTTTTATTTTAAGCTACTCTTATATATATTACTAATTATAATTATCAAATGTGAGATACTGCATATATAAATCATACCATTTCAACAACGTTTTATACGACGTTACCAAATCGTCAATGCCCCTTCGCCACTGCCGCGCCGCCGGTCGGCCGGTCGGAAAAATAACGGAGCTACTTTGCTCAATAATTTCTTAAAAACAAATACCGGAAGCCATAGACAGACAAATTTCATATTATTCCTTGTAATATCGAGTTTTATGTTTCATTGTCTCAAAAAATTGTAAAGAAAAACTTTTTAATAATGAATAAAAAGACCACTTTCGAGTAAGCTTTAGATAGAAATCCTATGTTAAACGTTTCAACTTTGAAGTGAATATCTTGATTTTTAATTCCGTTCCGGGTATTAAATTTTAAAGCATATGTTCAGAACACTAAAACACGTTTCTTCTTGTAAGTTTCAGAATCTAAAGAAAATGAATTTTTCGGAGAACGTTTTTAATCATAAGTAGTAAATTCAGTCAAATTAAAAAAATATTGTATAAATTGATTACTAAAACAACAATATTGCATCATACTGTATAATAATATAAATTACTATTTTTTGAATTTATCGCTCACATAAAAAATCTACTTTAAAATTGTATAATTTATATCACTATATTAAATTAATATTAAAAACAAGTCATTAAAAAGATTTTCGTGCTCCTGTATATCTGTCCGTATATAGATACCTTATCTTCATAGACTTTCTTCAATCATCTTCATATCCCTCTTGTAGAACTAATCTATCTTCCGTAAAAGAAAATATCTTCCATGAGGATATTCAAATAGAGTATCTTCCTGCATTCTACAATTTAATCATAAATTAAACGAATTATAACAAAGGATTCTTGATTTTAAATTAAAATATAAAGCAATGTAAAGGGCATGTAAGAGTCAAATATCAAATTAACAAAAATTGAGTCAAAACACAATATATTAAAATCGTTGACAATCAGTTAATAAATCATATACATATTTCGATTACATAATTGATCCCTCTTCAGATATTACATGAAAACTCAGATGTTAAAAAATTGAACTGAACATACTAATAAAACATAAAATAACGATGTAGGCCAGATTAATGTTCTTCAAAAAAATGGAAATTGCTCGCAAACAGTTGGAAGACTGATTGTTGGAAATTTCTTGATATTCTGATAAATTCAAAATTTAAATAAATTATCGATATATAAAAAGACAAGCAAGCCTGTCACTTTGATAAAAAAAAACTCACCAAGATAGCCAGACAGTTGTTTCACATGAAGGTGACACAAAGCTCGTCAAAACGTTACGTCAAGAAAGTGCATCGCAGTCGAGGTAAGGAACAATATTGGTCAAGTAATAGAAATTAAAAATTGTATATAAGCGTATTGTAATGATAAAAATAAAACTTTGTATAATGATAAAATTTGTCAAGAAGTAAGATATCGGTAAGTGTAACTGTTTTTATGATTTTATGTAATATCTGAAGAGAACTCGATGTGCGTGCGTGCGTGTGCGTGTGTGCGTATGTATATGTAGCCGAAACATATAATTTATTAATTGATTGTCAACGATTTTAATATTATATTTATGTTTTGACTCAATTTTTGTTAATTTGATATTTTGACTCTTACGTGCCCTTTATATTTCTTTATATTTTGTTTTAATCATAAACAATAATACTCAGATTAAATAAAACGATATTGTACAAATTGATTATTAAAACAATAATATTATATTATATTATATAAGAATTACTATTTAAAAAATTTTGTGCATATATAAAAAATTCATTTAAAAATTATATGAGTTATCTCACACTATATTGAATCAATTTTAAAAATAAGTCATTAAAAAGTCTTCCTGTCCCTATATAACTCTTTCTATATATCTATATACCTTTTATATTCTGCGTTCGTCGAAGTGAATCATGAAAAGTTTAACCTTATCTTCATCGTGGGCAGTCTTAAATCCTTTACTTTTCAAAATTTGTGCAATTATATTTTCTGTAAAGTAAAATTTTTAAATTAATATACGAATAATTTTATAATTACAAATACGTAATTATTTAAAAAATATTTTTAATTTATAATATTTTATGTAGAAATGCATGTAATACAATATTTACATCAAATTATGTAATTTATTTCAATAGAAACATCATTTTAAGTTAAATAAAATTTTGTGCAAACATAAGTAAATAAGATTTAATTAAATATTAGTAATATAATGCTTAATTATATAAAAAGCGATTGTAGCACAGAGCGTAATATGACTACTCCTTGTGCAAAAGATCTAGCGTTCAAATCTATTCAGATCATCAAATTTTATTTGATCGCTACGGAAGGCAATGGCAAACCTCCGAGAGTATCTTTACCATCGCCGTTTGGATTCGCCGATGAAAATATCGTAGCTTCCATGTCCAGCAGTGGATGAAATCAGGCTGATATAGGTAAATAAATACAAAAACGCTTAATTAAATATTTATATATTAAAACCTAAATATATAGCTTAGAAATCTAAATAAAATTAATTATCATTAGAACAAAATACTATAATATATTTGCAATTTACATTAAACGTACCATGACCCGGTCAAATGACCGGTTGTAAACTTTTGATTAGAAAATTCGCATGAAATGTTATCGCTTTTTCACATTTAACTTCATGACTTTTTCTGTTAAATATATACAATTAATTTTACATCATTTATTTATATTTTTATTTGTTAAATCTGATAAACACGTGTAGCCTAGCGTTATTTATCGCGACATGTCATTTGACCGGTTACAGTACAAATAGGTATATATTAAATCTCGGTACGTTTAGTGTTAAGCAAGAGCATCGAATAAATTATTTGGATACTCTCTTTGAATATTATTAGAATATTATAGTTAAACATACTTTTCGATTTACGACACAATATTCCGTGCAATATTTTTACAGGAAGATAAGTTCCTGTATCAATGTATGCCTTATACCTCTTGTGGAAAAAAATGTAGGTTAAAAATGATGAGTAAAATACTCTTCCAGTGTTGAAAAAGTTCTTGAATCAAATTTAATGTTCATTATTACAAGTATTTCTCTTGCTTGTCATCTTCATGGAGTATATTATATCGATAGAGTATATATTATCGATTTTTACAGTAGATTCTTCATAGATGTAAGAAATAAACCTATCAATGCATCAATCTTGTGTTTATATAACAAAATTTTGTGCTATTAATACGATAGAAACACATCATTATTATACAGAGTGTCTGAAACCACCCGTACATCCCTTTTATCTCGGAAGCAGAGTATTTTAGAAAACATCGTTTCAGACAAAAGTTGTGGAATTCTAAATGATCTATTCAGTAATCTGATCAGTCTGATCTTGGGTAGCGTCATCAAGGTTAGAGCAATATCACACACTTTGAATTTTTTAAATAGAATTCCCCATTTTTCATTACGTATTCTTATAACTTATAACATACCTCGAGAGCTTTCCAAAACACTAGAACAAAATATTGTTTCATGAAGTACCTTTCGAGTTATGTTTGAAAGTTACAGTATCGCCGGTATTTAGTATTATCTTAGTTGTTCTATCGACGGCTAACATCTCTTGGATAACATTTTTCAAGGTCAAGGCCATTAAAGGTTGTACTTCTAATTTACATTTTTGCATTAAAAATTCATTTTTTACATAAAAATAAATGTTGTTCAAGATCGTCATCTGGATAACATTTTTCAAGGTCAAAGCCATTAAAGGTTGTACTTCTAATTTACATTTTTGCATTAAAAATTCATTTTTTACATAAAAATGCCGGCGATATTGTAACTTTCAAGCATCATAACTCGAAAAGTACTTCATGAAAAAAAAATTTTTTTGTACTGTTTTGGAAAGCTCTCGAGGTGTGTTACAAGAATATGCAATGAAAAATAGGGGGTTCCATTTAAAAAATTCAAAGTGACATTACTCTGACCTTGGTTAACACCACTCATGGTCAGACTGATCAGATCATTTAGAATTCCACAATTTTTGTCTGAATTTTTTTTAAGATGCTCTGCTTCCGAGATAAAAGAGGTGGTCTCAGACACTCTGTACAACAAAACTTTTATGCTATTAGTACGATAGAGACACATCATTATTATATATCATCGCAGATTATTGTCAATGCTATATTTGTAATACAATTCTTCATTTATTGCAACGTTAGATAATAATTTTCTGCAAAAATTAAGAATTTAGAGAATCATAAGGATTTTATAGAATTAATAGTTTACCATCTCTTCTCTTGACGATCACATCTTCAGGATTAAGTATATCTCTTTGTAATTCGGTAACAGGTCCTTTTGCGGGAATATTCCTATGAATATCAACTTTAATTCGACGTAGTTCTGAAGTATCAATCTGTGCATTCTGAGGACCTCTAAATAAAGGTATTGTTCCACTTGAAGACCCATCTAATCTAAAGAGAATTTAATCATATGTTAAATTAATTGTAGTTATATTGTGTTAACATAATTAGATCCTTTTTTTCAGGAAAATAGTTCTATTCTCTTATATATCTTTTTAAACCAAAAATTTGTTTTTTTCTACTGTTATTCAAAAAATAAAATTTTTTTAAATCTTTGTAAGACCGTAACAAGTGATAAACACAAATAAACAAGAAGAAGATAGCCATAACGGTCAAAGCGGGATCATAATGCTTATTATAATTGTGTGTGATTCTATATACTGTGTATATAGTCCCCCCCCATAATCGCACGCCAAAATTTTTCAGCTTTAACGCAAACTTACTACTACAATAATATTACGAATTTTTAATTGTTTTAACAATTTTTGATGATCATAGTATCATGGATCTTAATCGTGTTTTTTGAATGACATATTAGAATATGAAGAAGATAAATTAAAATTCCGTAATAATTTTAAAATTCTGTAAATAATTAGATCTTTTAATTATTTCTTTAATATTGCGAAGAATATTACATAATTTTGGCGTTTCATCCCGGCTTCCACTACTGGACCCATCAGTAGTAGTGGAAATCTACCTTAGACGCCTGGGTAAGTTATTAAATCGAGATTCTATATGAAGAGATATATGCGTGTCTCAACACTTTCGAGAAATTGCGAATATTGATCCATTATTATCTATGATCATCAAAAATTGTAAAAACAATTAAAATTTCGTGATATTACTGTGGTATGTTTGCGTTAAAGCTGAAAAATTTTGCGCAATTATGGGAGGGATTACATACACAGTATATAGCATCACACACAATTATAATAAGCACTATTATCCAGCTTTAACCGTTATGGTTATCTTTTTCTAATAAAATTTTTATTTTTTAATTTTTTAAAATAAAATATTGTAACCTTTTTACTATTTTGAAAATATAATATTATCTCTCTCTCATTTATGTCACTATAAAATTTATGTAATAAGTACCTAATAATAATGACCAATCTTCAATAAATGATGGAATATAACACTGTTCTAACATACGAATACATTTTCACTGTTTTATAAGTAATATATTCTCTAAAATAGTTTTACACTAATTACCTTCTTATTTACTTTTCAATTCATTTTGTTGAAATATTCTTTCCGAATATTTTCAAGTTATTTTATCTCTATCAAGTACCAATAAATGCTTGGACCATAATAAAGATACAAATATATAATGTATATATATTGTACACTCACTTTTCATGAAGGCTACCAGATTTAGAAGCAGTTGATGCAGATCTACCTCTGTACTGAACATGCGTAGGAGATTCACTACCACTTTTACTTTGACTGTGACGCGAGGATTTTTCTTCAGTATATTTTAAAGCTTGTGCACGTTTCCTTTCATATTCTAAAATTTTTTGCTGTTTTAATTTCTCATGCTGTCTCTCTCGCTCTTGCTGGCGTTGCCATTCTCGTCTGCGCCTCTGCTTCTCTTCTTCGGTTCTTGAACGTAAAACTGCATAAGTATTGTTATCTTCGTTACGCGTTGATCTTGACTCCTCACCACCTCGGAAAGTTGTCGATCGTATTGGATTCATTACTGAAAATATAAAGCAAAGCAAATTCACCACTAATTATATAGGATTGTTTGCATGCTGCTGTGCTGATAATTGTACAGCCTGCTGGCTATGCTGCTGGCTGATCTGCTTTCATGATATTAAATTTGGTTTGTTTTCCGTTCCTGCACTAGATTGCACTAAAACTATCTTACTCACTTTATGTTCCAAAAGCATACATTAGTTCAGCTATAAAAAACGGACCTATTATTTTTCTTGCATTATTTTATGTTGGCTCATTATGAGAATCAATTAAGGCTATATTCTACCAATGCTGAACAGCTATGATGCACATAATGTAAAACTATAGGTTTTGCAATACCAGCAGTAAATATTGGAATGTAGTCCAATATATTGGAACATAGGCTAGTCATATAAGATAAAAGTATTTCAAAAAGATGAAAGTGGTACGGTGATACATATTTTCCAGATTAAAACAAATTGGTGATTAAACTAGGCAAATGAGAATACAGTGTTAATTGTAGTACGCAAATAAAAATGGTTTGTTTTTTTGTGAATTCTTTATTTAATGGATTCATGATACTTTTCACAGGTAAAATGTACGTTTTGACTCAATTCGGAGTCCTCTTTGGCACTAAATATGTCTTTACTATGTATAAATAAGGAAGATTAACCAACAAATTGACAGATTTGATGTGGTACATCTATCAAATATAATTAAGATTAACAATGAATTAGTGTGACTAATCTTATAACTCACCTTAAACACACAAAGCAATTATCATAAAATCTCAGATTAAAATTTGACTATTAAGTCACATTGCGAAACTCAATCTCCAGTACGTAATGAAAAAGGTTAATTTTACGATACCATGTAAATGTTGCGGTACTAGGAAAATTAAAAAAAGTAAAAGATCAAGTAGTTTAACGCATTCTAACGCATTCTAACACCCAGCATGTCTTCAAAAAGATGAAAGTGATATGGTGGTATACTTTCCAGATTAAAACAAATCTGTGATTAAACTTCGATCTTTTACTTTTTTCTAAATTTTATACAGTATACCTTCGGTATTGTTCGTGTAAATCTCATGAAGTGTTGGATCAAAAATTGAAAGAATATTATTAAGAACAAAATGACAATCAAATTCACTAAACAATGTATACAAGACAATCTAGTACCGCGACATTTACATGGTATCATAAATCATGAAATTAACCTTTTTCATTATATACTAGAGATTGAGTTTCGTAATTTGATTTAATAGTCAAATTTTGATCTGAGATTTCATGTTAAGATGAGTCGGAAGATTAGTCATACTAATTCATTGTTAATTTTAATTATATTTGACATATGTACTATATCAAATCTGTCAATTTGTTGGTGATCTTGCTTATTCACATACAGTAAAGACATATTTAATGCTGAAGAGAATTCCGAATTAATTAAGTCAAAACGTACATTTTACCTTTAGAAAGTATCATCAATCCATTAAATAAAGAATTTATAGTAAAAAAACAAATAATTTTTACTTGCGTACAACAACGAACGTTGCATTCTCATTCATCTAGTTTAATCACCAATTTGATAAAAGTATTTCCTTCGCAATAATTAAAAAGCTATGCAATTGTAGTTTTATGAAGATTTATCACAGCAGCGAAGTTATTCAAACATTTCTATCAAGTAACTCCTGTCAAATAAATTTCAACTTCTCAGCCAATACAAAAACTGGCATTGTGTGAAGTCAAAGTAGCAATATGGCCAGCAGCAAACATACAAATTCAGTTACCAATCCTGCAGGATAAAAAGCATCGCAAGAATAAACAAAATTAAGTCTTAAAAGTTTTCTGAAAAATAAAATTGGTGTTTTCTTGGGAATGTTTTTGAATGAATTTAAACTACTTTGTAAAAAAAAGTACTCACCACTGAAACTTTGCAACCAAGTAGAAAATAGATTCCAACTGGAATGTAGCTAGATAATTTTCGCACAGTGATTGCAGAAAACTGCTAAATATTTTGTTTTTCTAACGATAATTGATTAATTCCGAAATTCGCCAATTGAAATCATAAACTACAAAAGAAATGTCCAGGATTCTTCGGTCAAATGCAAATTATTAAGTATTTTTACAATAAGTATTTAAACCTTGCATATTCTAAGACAAGCTGATCAGAATCAAATCATCGCTACATAACATTTTTAACCGTGCAAAAGATAACAGATTTGAATATTTAAAAGTCCAAAACACATTCGTGGTGTCGTGGTTTTGTATATTAATGTGTGATTAATACTAATATTTTATAGAACATTTAAAAAATAATTAATATAAAAGATTAATATTTTGCCGGAGCTCTTACGTAACAATTCACAGATTTTTTACATTCTAACAATGACCATTAACTGATTTAGGGTGCGTCCCTTCTTCTTTTTTATTTTTAATGGCTCTCAGGCGAACGCCCGCAATACGGCCAGTATCTAATGTAGCGATAGCGACTTGTAAACGGAGAGGATGAAATGCCCGCAAAAATGGCGTAACCCGTACGGACCAGCATGGACATCGGGCGCCTGCATCTACGTCGTCACACCGCAATAACGCGCATCAGGACGAACGAACGGGTCGTCAAGATTCGCGAGATAAACAAAATCAAAATGAAGTGCAAAGCATGGTCAAAGTCGGCACCACTTTTCAAAAAATATGTGATTGAAAGCACACGAACCGAAACGCGTCCGCCGCGGTCGAGTAATTCTGCTGAATTCTGCAGAAGTTAGGGGTTAGGAACTGGAAAATATCGATTATTGATACGATGTTTTTCCAATTTGATTATTCCCTAGACGATAGTTTTTTTTGGTTCGATGTAACTAGAATCGTTACTAAGAGCCTCTTTCACCAACGCCGATTAACTTAATCGACGATTAGTCCATTGGAATTGACGAATCGCGTCTGTCGTCAAAACTAAATGATAAATGCAATTGGTCAATTCCAATGGACTAATCGTCGATTAAGTTAATCGACGTTGGTGAAAGAGGCCCTAAACTGTGTATTGCCTGGTTTATGCTTCAGGTCTTAATCCCAAGATCCTAAAATTCAACCAATAAAGCTGCCAGTTCTAACCGAAATTTGAACTCTATTGGCTGAATTTTAGGATTAAGTCCTTAAGACCGAAGCATAAACCAGGCATATGACTGTTGCGGTATTCTCTAAACATTTTATCGATGATTGTCGCTATCGTTAACTAGCGACAGCCAATGGCAGGACAATCCTAAAAGAAAGCGCGGTTCTCATTGGCTGTCGCTAGTTAACGATTACAACAATTATCGAAAAAACGTTTAGAGAATCCCGCAACTGGTATCGTAGAGACCCTATAATAGGGAGCAATAGGGAATCTGGCCAAAGATGTCACTCTCATTGGCTAAGAAAGAATATGGCGCGACCAATCGTTGCTGTTGAAATTTCTTTCCAAGCGCAGCATAATTTGAATATGATGAAATAATAAATTCATGTTTTATATATATCAATATATAAAACATAAAAACACAGATTATAAAATATATAAAGTTTATAAACATATAAAATATATAGAATATAAAAATAAATTATTTGATTACAGAATGCATTGCCATTGTTTTGCTACTAAACATTTTTCGTCGCGGACGTTCTTTCGGACAATTAATTTTAGATCTATATTTAATGAAATATTTCATTAACTCATTTTTGTAATTTTCACTTTCGTCACAAGAACCGTAACAAGCCCCCAGGGCCTCTTTCACCAACGTCGATTAACTTAATCGACGATTAGTCATTGGAATTGACCAATCGCATTTATCATTTAGTTTTGACGACAGACGCGATTGGTCAATTCCAATGGACTAATCGTCGATTAATGGCGAATTCGATTGGATGCACTAGTGCGCACTGAGTGCACCTGAGTTCATCTTTCTAGGAGAAGGGAAAAGGAAAAAAGATGAACTGGTGCAATCCAATCGAATTCGCCATAAGTTAATCGGCGTTGGTGAAAGAGGCCCTCAATTTTCGGCGCTTGCGGCGCTGCATTGGCTTGTGTCATAAAGTCACTAGATTTATAAATCTAGTGACTTTATTGTATCGTTGATACTCCGTGATCTGAATGCATCTATAAGGTTCATGAGTGATATATACACCATGGTATTCTACATATGACATATATAATATATATATATATATATTTTATCTACATACCATGAGCGGCGCTTTATGATCAGTCCGGCTTTTGAAGAAATATGGCGGATGTTGAGGTGAGCGAGTCACGTGGAATACAAGAAAATTCTTGTATTACTTTAACATTGGTGTGATATTATAATCGGTGCGTTTTGTTGTAGCTAGCAAAAGCCTTGAAGGATTTACCAAATCGAGTTCAGATCGCCAGTAAGAAGGAGCGGCGTGAGATTCTGCAAAATGTCGCCAGCGTATTGTCAAATCCCGGTAAGGAGATCGCGGGAGAAGACACGTATTCTTTTTTAATGAGAGATAAATAACACTGACGTATAGAGATTTTATGAAAATGCAGGGACAGATTTTTTACACAGCCGTTGATTCATCGCTCTGTGATTTGTGCATGATTTTGACAAAACTGTCAGTCATTGATTTGGAATGTTCCAGAGTATTTTATTTACAATATGTCTTTTTAATTATTTTGTCAAATATCTCTCTTTTCTTATCTTAGTTCTGAATTGTTTAAAATCTAGTCGAAAAATTATTGTTACAAATTATATGTATAGTAACAGAAATTTGACAACTCCAATAATTAGGATTTTTAATATTTTTGTTAAATATTATTAAAGACATCTGACATATTTTTATAAAAATTATTATTATGTAATACATGTAACAGATATTTTAAAAATATATTTTATGTATTTTTTTTTAGTTAAGTAACTTGCTGCAACTGTTATTTTTTGCATGATCCAATTTGACTATGTTAATGAGATTTTAAAATATCTATTAAGCATTGTTAAAGATATTTTGACATATTTCAGTAAAAATTACATAACATATTATTTAAAAATATATATATTTAATATATTTCAGTTAAGTAATAAATTTGTTGCAACTGTATTGTGTTTTATATAATTTAGCTTGACTATGACAGCATACAAAAATTAATTTTCTTGTAATAGTATATATATAATAAGTGAATATTTTATAATGTCGAGTTATAATTTTTTATAAGTATTTTTTCTATTTCAGAAATTCATTTAATATATGTATGTTAAATCTTAATATAATTTTTTCCAACAGTATTCTTAATCTAATAGCATATTCACTTTATTATCTGAAATGAATAAAAATTTCTTGTTTTTATCTTTTAGTGAGGAATTTAGATTTTTTAAAATTGTTGGATTTATTTCAACTTAAAAATATTAAATATTTAAATGTAAATTTTTTATTTCTAGTATTCAATCTTAAAGTAGTCTTTTATGTTATTTTCTTATAAGAAAGTAATAAATTAAATATTTTGTATATATAATTCACATAATTGATTTTAAGTAAAAAATATGATATACAACACTTTTATCTGAAACTGTTTTATGTTTGTCAAATTATTATATATTAGGTTACACAAATATTCTGGAAAGTATAAATTATTTAAATATGTAAACCACGAATTATTTATTACAGGCATTAATGACAAAATTGTTAATGGAATTTGTAAGGTTGTATCACTTACCCTACATAGATACAAAGATAGCGCTTCTCAGTCCTACGTGAGAAACCTAATTGTCGAATTAATTAAACAACAACCAGATGCTACTATCAAACATATGACAACTGTAATTTCGGAGCAAGCTAGCTGGCATAAAAATGTGGTTCCAACGTAAGTCGAATTCGAGAATAAATTTTTTATCAATTATCTATTTACAACAATATTTTTCTAAAACGGTTTTTTTTTTTTTAGTCTGAACACTGCTCTAACTGCATATATTGCATTGAAGTGGTCAACTTTAGTTATTTTTCATGGATATAACAAATGTCATATAACTCAAATGAATGAATCTTTAGCAAAGCTCATTGAGGCACAAGCAAATTTATCTGCTGCGGCTTTGGCATCTACAGATAAGAAACTTGCTAACAAGGTGTATAAGTTACTCACACACGAATGGGTAGCTATTACAGACATAGAAACTTATGTCGAACATTTAATGAAATTGGAACTTGGTAATGGTGTAATTATTCTAGCCAGTTTACTTACAAAATATTTAGTTGCTACAAAAAGGAATGATTTGGTGGAACAATTGAAGGTAAGCGAGACAAGGAGGAATACACACACACCTACACACACATATTTTTTTAATATATATTATATATTGTATTTTTTTCTGAATTCTAGACAAACATGATAGATGTTTTTATAAAAGTGACGATTAGTTGCAAGAAGAAACCAGATTTGTATGTAGTCGATGCAGCTATGCCACTTCTTCGGAGATTAACTCATGAGGAATTCAAAACTCAATTACTTCCCGCTTTACAAAAAGCTATGTTGCGAAATCCAGAAATCATAATTGAATCAGTTGGACATATTTTAAATGGATTGAGTCTTGACCTGAGTCAGTATAGCCAAGAGATAAGTAAAGGATTATTTGCTAATCTACATTCTAAGGAGGATTTGGTTCGAGATGAAGCAGTTGAAGCGTGCCGCAAACTCGCTATACAATGTTCCGATACGACAGCTGTGGAAATGTTGCTATCGTCCATATTTGCAGTGTTTCATGGATCGGAAGGTAAACTCACGGTTGCAACACATAAGATTTCAGTTCTGCAAGGTGCTGGTAATCTCAGTTACAATGTGGCTTCGGGTAGTAGCGTTCAAAAATTAGCCGAAACGGCCTGCGAGCATTTTGTCAAAGTGCTCGAGACCGAAGTTCACGAGAAGACACTAATACACGCTCTTGAAATGATGACACTGTGGTCTAAGAAATTCACGTGTAATGTACCAAAAATCGTCGTAGACGCTTTTAAGAAGGGCATGGCAGCGAAAACGTCCACTGCTGCAGTTCGTACTGCCTACAT